ACATTGGGTTTTATTGGTTACTGTCCAACAGTTTTCCAGAGTAACTGTACAGATGTATAGTCACAGCAAAGTGCAGAAATGTACTTGTGCCCCTTTCCTACCACCACAGTATAGTACTTGTTTGTTTCCTTTGCTTCAGTCTGTTGCATGTAGTAGTTGTTTCATTTTACTGGTTTCTGGTTGTAATGGAGGTGAGAAGATTTCACATGTCTGTTGGCTTTGTGAATAAATTGCTTGTGTGTGTGTGTGTGTGTGTGTGTGTGTGTGTGTGTGTGTGTGTGTGTGTGTGTGTGTATTGAACTCAGGGCCTGGGTGCTGTCTCTGAGGTTTTTTTTTTATTGTGAAAATATTGTACAGAGGGGTTACAATTACATGGGCAAGATAATGAGTACATTTCTTATCAAGCATTGTAGCCTCCTCCTTTGTTTCCCCTTCCCATCCCTTCCCATCCTCTCCCTGCCCCCCTCTGAGGTTTTGTTTTGTTTTGTTTTTTTTTTTTTTTGTTTTTGGTCAAGGCTAGCACTCTACCGCTTGAGCCACAGCTCCACTTCTGGCTTTTTTGGTACTTAATTGAAGAAAAAAGTGTCAGGCTTTCCTGCTAGGGCTGTCTTTGAAACACAATCCTTAGATCTCAGCCTACTAAGTAGCTAAGATTGCAGGCATGAGCCAGTGGTACCTGGTGAGTAAATCGCTTTTTAAAACTAAATTATGCTGTTTACGTTGAGGCATTGTAGATTCACTGGGCAGAAGAAATAACAGAGATTCTATGAACTATTCTATGTGTTCTCTTATCATTTTGCCAAACAGCAGTACAGTTTTACACAACATACTACCATTGATGCAGTTAGGAATATTGCTACCTTATAAGAGCCCCTAGTTCTTCTCTTTTGTAACCATACTCACATCCTTCTACTCTCTTCTCCCTTTAATCCCAGCCAACCACTGAAAGATTCTTTATTTCTACCATTTTATCATTAGAAATTTAGAAAATCATACTTTTATATAGGTAGAATTGTGCAGTGTTTTTTCCCCCCTGAGGTTGACTTTTTCTTTTCACTCAGTGTAATTGCTTAGAAATTTCTCAAGGTTGATTCATGTATTAATGTATCACTGGTTTGTGTCTTTTATTACTGAGTACTATTTATTTCTTTTATGAGTATATCATGGTTTGTTAAGCCATTCACCTGTTGAAGAGTATGTGACTTGTTCATAATTTTTGATTGTTGGGAATAGAGGTACTATACATATTTAAGCACAGGTTTTGGTAGAAACACAGGTTTGTATTTATCAGAGATAAATAGCCCATACAGGACTTCTTGGTTGTATGGTAGTTGCTTGTTTCATTTTCCAAGAAGTGTCCAAATTGTTTAGCAGGATGGATTTAACATTTCATGTTTTTTCTAGCCATGAGTTAGTGAGCTTTGTTTCTCTGAATGCATACCAGCTTTTGGTGTTGTTACCATTTTATTTTTATTTTAGTTGTTCTGATGGTTGTATAGACCCCAGAACAGTGGAGCCAATTCATTATAGGCTGAAACCTCTGTAACTGAGCCAAAAGAAACTTTTTCTTGTAATAAGTAATTTATTTCAGGTTTTTTGTGTTTTGGTCATAGTGATTGGAAGGTAGCAGCATGTTTCTCCATTTTGAAAAAATATCTTCTTTGATCAAACAAAATTTGTTTTCACTATAAAAATTCTCTAAATGTATTGTAGATTTATACCTAAGTAATTTTTAAAAAATGGTACCTGGGTTTAAACTGAGGGCATCAAGCTTTTTAACCCTTTCTTTTTTTCTTTTTTTTTCTTTTTGTCAGTCATGAGGCCAAAACTCTGGGCCTGGGCACTATCCCTCAGCTCTTCAACTCAAGGCTAGTGCTCTACCACTTGAGCCACAGCACCACTTCTGGCTTTTTCTGCTTATTTGGTGCTGAGGAATTGAGCGCAGGGCCTCATGAATGCAAGGCAAGCACTCTACCACTGAGCAACCTTCCCAGACCCCCTAACCCTCTCTTTAATTAATCTTTTCTTTTAGTTTTATTTGTGAACAAGGATCTTGTGTTTTTTTTTTTTTTTTTTTTAAATCTATCTAGGGCTAGCCTAGACCACGAGCTTATCTATGTATGTCTCCTGTAGTTGGCATTCAGGCAAATAGCACCGTGACAGGTTTATTAGTTGAGGGGGGGTGTGTGTGTGTGTGTGTGTGTGTGTGTGTGTGTGTGTGTGTGTGTGTGTGTGTGTGTGTGTGTGTGTGTGTGTGTGTGTGTGTGTGTGTGTGTGTGTGTGTGTGTGTGTGTGTGTGTGTGTGTGTGTGTGTGTGTGTGTGTGTGTGTTGGGGGGGGTCTCATTAACTTTTTGTCTAGGCTGTTGTGAAAATCCAATCCTCCTGATCTCTGCCTTTGAGAGAGATTACAAGCATATGCCTCCATGGAGACCTTACATTCTAAATCCTGAAAATACTAGGAACTGATGAGATGGCCCCGTCATGGAAAGAATTAACCATGTGTTGATATTTTCTTTTGTTGGGTGGATGTGATCCTTTTACTTGAGGTAGGGAATTCAGAAGAAAAGTCATATTTAGGAAATACAGTGAGATCTGCTTTGGGCCTGTTGCTTTTTTTGATGCTCATGTAACTTTGTGTTCACATATTTAGTTGACATTCGAAATGATTTGGATTTTAGGGGACAGTTCAGAATTATATTAAGAATTTTTATATTCAGATGGTAAATGGTACTGCAGGAGAGAACATATGTAGAATGAATAGAGTTCAGGTGCCAAGTTGCTGAAAAGGAAGAAAATTTAGAAATATAGGAGAATGAAAAGAATGGTGTGTTATAGGCACTATAGAATTTTCCCCCCTTTTTATCAAGATCTATTTCAAAAGATTCACATAAATCTGCCTGACATTCCCACCTGTCTTTTCCCAACTCCTATATGAGTAAGTCTTCAGCCATTTCTTCTTTTAGTTTAACATTTACTGCACTAACACAGTGCAGCTTGTGTTTTTTTCTATAACAAGGTATTTTTATTCCTTGAAAAAGAGGCTTAGCTTTTACTCTTTTTTTTTTTCCTGTATATGGTAGTTTTACTGAAATAGGAGAAGCTACAAGATGGTAGAGCATGAAAAACTTACAAGGGGCAACTGGATTTTTTTATTTTTATTTTTTTTATTTTTTGGGACCGGTTGTGGGGCCTGAATTCTGGGCCTGGGGCTCTGTCCCTCAGCTCTTCAGCTCAAGGCTAGCGCTCTACCACTTGAGCCACAGCGCCACTTCCGGCTTTTTTCTATTTGGTTATTTATGTGGTGCTGAGGAATCGAACCCAGGGCCTCAAACATGCAAGGCAAGCGCTCTACCACTGAGCCACCTTCCCAGACCTGCAACTGGATTTGTTAATCACGGTCTTAGGCAAAGTGTTATATTCAGAGATGTGGAGTGTGCAGTTTTTCCATCTTCCTGTTTTCTAGTCAGTTTTGTCCTTTCTTCTCCCTACTTCCTTATTCCCTAATTACACTGTTCGAATGTGCATTCCTTTAGTACCCTATTTTATCATGGTGGCAAAATATTCTTTCTTCTGATCTGTGAGGATTGTTCTGATTTTCCAAATTCAGTTCATCTTCCCTTTCTACAAGACTTCTACCCACATATGAGATTTATTCTACTAAGTTTCCACAGCACTGTCTGTTGCATAACACATAATCACTCTTTAATATTGATATCCATATTTTGAGCATAGTATGATTTATATTCTATACAAGGATAGGCTGAACAAGAGTCAGGCTAAGTCTGTACCCTGGTATTTTCCTGGTTAATTGTAGTCTTGAAGACTTTTCTGCCCTAGATGGCTTTGTATCTTGATCCTCTGAGTCTCTGCCACTGAAGTAGCTAGAATTATAGGTAAGACCACTAGTGACAGCTGGCTGATTTTTTTTTTTAAATAAAAGATTCATATCATAAACTTCCTTAGTCTTCTAATTACTTGATTCTGTTTCTGAGTTCTGTTACCATGTGACATATACATTTATTATTATTATTTCTGTTTATTTTCTTAATTTTTTCTCAGCTCTATTAGAGGACAGATATTACTTTTGTTACTTTTCATATTTCTAGCTTTTTTATTTTTTGGTCATGAGGCTTGAACTCTGGACCTGGGTGCTAGCCCTGAGCTTTTCAGCTCAAGGTGAGCGCTCTATCACTTGAGCCACAGTCCACTTCCGGTTTCCTGGTGGTTAATTGGAGATAAGAGTCTCACAGACTTTCCTGCCCAGGCTGGCTTTGAACCGTGATTCTCAAATCTCAGCCTCCTGAGTAGCTAGAATTACAGGTTTGACCACCAGCACTTGGCATATATATATTAATATATATTAATACATAATATATTAATATATAATATAACATTATTATTATGTTATATTGTTATAATATATATAATATACCAATATATAATATATGTTATAATATATTGCATATTAAAATATATAGTATGTATTATTATATAATATACCATACAGTATACTGAATAACAGATTTTTTTCCATTGCTTTCTATCACTGAGGTAAGGTGATTGTAATGTGATGGATTTGTTATAGCATTGAGTTTCTATTGAATTTTTCCATTTAAAATATATTTAATATTTCAACTTAAGATTTTTTAAGGCATTAGAAATATTTCATACATGAAACTGTCATCACATGACCCATGTTAAAATTTATTGGCGTATATTTCTCTGACAGTAAATTTAAATGACTTAGTATTTATTCTGGAATTTTCATTTTTACAGAGAGGACAGTAAAATGCCATGGTTTTGTGTGTGTGTGTGTGTGTGTGTGTGTGTGTGTGTGTGTGTGTGTGTAGCTATGGCCTCGTGTGTTAGGCAGGCACTTAAACTCAGAGCTATATCCTTAACATTTATATATCCCTTTCTTCATTCAGTAGCATTCATGTATGAGCTAATTTAAGTGGGAACAACTGTTTGGATTAAACAAAAACCTTTCTCTTTCCAGATTGCAGCAATTCTCCGGAAACGAAAATTAGACTATTATTTATACAGGCTACTCCCTGAGATCCTGCAATCCGCTTCATTTCTGACTGCTAATGGGTCCTTGTATATTACTTTGTTTTGCCTTTTCAGGTTGGTACCCATAATCAGCACTAGCTATTAATAGAGATTTCTATGTTGAAATGTAAACAAATGGATGTTTGCCTAACTATTGTTTAGGTCATTGTTTCTGTTTTTTTTTTTTAAAGCTCTGAAATGTCATTTATCTCAGAAAGTTAATGAAATCAGGACCTTCATGGCTCTAGGTCTGAAGATATGATATAAACTTGAAGTTATTGGTATGATTATATAGCAAAAATGCTTTAATATGTCATTTTCTGAGGCTTGCTATATTTTCAAAGTTGATCACCAGGATGTTTGTTTTTCAGTTTCATAGATCAGTTCAAAGCATCAGTCTATGAAATGGCTTAGGAATGATATGCAGTGAACCAAGTTCGAATGCAATATGAAGTACACATTTGTGTATTAGACAGTGTATTAACTGTTGGTTTATTTTAGTGATGGAACATTTGTCTGGATTTAGTCTTGTATATGGTATCTACCTATGCTGCATTCTGCTTCTTGAGGTTCTGACAAAAGCAACATATATAGTAGATACTTTAATTTTATTTAAGCACTCGTTGCTAAACTAAACTGATTTGCTTCCGTCAAGTTAAAAATACCCAGTTCACGTTATCCTCATCTGTGCGCTGTCCACAGTAGCTGTACAGATTTTATCTCAGAACTTTAGTATTTATGTACTTTTAAATAATAAATAAAATAACTGATAAAGTTTCTATACTGTTGAGCAAATCATGTCTTTAAATTGACTTGGAATTTCTGTAAGGAAATTACTTTGTAAGGTGGTCTCCTGAAGTTTAAGTTTCATAGAGTTGTTACAAGTCTAAAAATAAAGTTTTTTTTTTTTTGGGTCTGGTTGTGGGGCCTGAACTCTGGGCCTGGGCGCTGTCCCTCAGCTCTTCAGCTCAAGGCTAGTGCTCTACCACTTGAGCCACAGCGCCACTTCTGGCTTTTTCCTTTTTGCTTATGTGGTGCTGAGGAATCGAACTCAGGGCCTCATGCATGCAAGGCAAGTGCTCTGCCATTGAGTCACCTTCCCAGCCCCTAAAAATAAAGTTTTTAATAACCTCTGTCTCTTTCTTTTTTGGTGCTTGTTCTGGGACTAGAACTTAGAACCTGAGTGCTGTCTGTCTCTTAGCTTTTTTGATCAAGGCCTGGCACTCTTATCACTTAAGCCACACCTCTACTTCTGGCTTTTTGAGAGGAAAAAGTCTCAAGAACTTTTTTGCCTGGGTTGGCTTCCAACTGAGTTCTCAGTCGCCTGAGTAGCTAGGATTACAGGCATGAGCCACCAGTACCTGGCTACAGTGTATTTTGTTATGTTCTATGAGCATGTTTGGCTAAGTTGTGGTATCATACAATTCTTAACATTAAGATTTGTGCCCTTTTTGAAAATTTAAATTGGTTTATTTTTTGACTTATCTTCAAGTAGTAATATAAAGGGATTTAATTCAACATGTTCATATTCTTTCTACAACTAACCCAATGAGTCAGTTTTCCTTTAAATTTTACATTCAGTAATAATAACTCTCTGTAGATTTTGTATTGGAGGGAAAACTCCATTTTTCTCAGGCAGAAAGTTCCCTTCCTCCTTCCCTTCTTTCTTTCTTTCCTTCCTTCCTTCTTTTGTCGAAGTTTTAACAAAGATTTATTTTAGTATAATAGGATAAAGTAGGGATTAATATATTCTAGTAAATGCAAAATGATATCCACAGTCAATTAAAAACTAAAAGAAGTAATGTAAGAAAAATATCAAAGATTGTGGCATGTCATATTATGTGTTAAAAAATTGTACACACAATAGAAGTAATGATGTGATAACAGCTCACACTGGGAATGCTAACTCTGCACCCTGCCTGGCCCTGGGGAGAGTGGCAGTATATTTGAATGTGAGGTATGATGGGATGTTTGGATGGAGGGGCACTGCAAAGGGAAATCTTTCTTTGTAATAACCAAAATAACCAACAAAGAATTTGAATTTCAGGAAGATACTTGGAAAATTTTACTCCTGGACTCCTGGCTTTGGTGCCGCTTTACCAGCATCCTATGTGGCCATTCTAATTGAAAGAAAAAGCAGGTAAAATTTTATACATCTACATTAATAGAACTCATACCTAGTAGGAAATTTATTGCTCATCACTTATTGTAGTCTAGGGATAAGGAATATTTCTAGACATAATTTTCTTTTAGTTCTGCAACATATTTGATTGAAAATTACTTATTAAATCCATAAAATACTGGACGCTGGTGGCTCATGCCTGTAATCCTAGCTACTGAGGAGGCTGAGATCTGAGGATCACGGTTCAAAGTCAGCGTGGGCAAGAAAAGTCAGTGAGACTCTTATCGCCAATAAACCACTGGAAAACCAGAAGTGGCGCTGTGGCTCAAACAATAGAGTGCTCACCTTGAGCTGAAGAGCTGAGAGACAACGCCCAAGCCCAGCGTTCAAGCCCCACGACCGATCAAAAAACAAAAAATCCATAAAGCATGGAGATATAAATATTGATATTAGAATTATAGTAGCTTCCGTTTATTAAAAATTATTCTATGTATGGCCTAGTTAATACATGACATGGCAGATTCTAATGAAAGATTTTTTTTTTTGGGTCCGGTCGTGGGGCCTGAACTCTGGGCCTGGGCGCTATCCCTCAGCTCTTCAGCTCAAGGCCAGTGCTCTACCACTTGAGCCACAGCGCCACTTCTGGCTTTTTTCTTTTTGCTTATGTGGTGCTGAGGAATCAAACCCAGGGCCTCATGCTTGCAAGGCAAACGCTCTAACACTGAGCCACCTTCTCAGCCCCTAATGAAAGATTTTTCTTTGTGACAGTACTGGCGTTTCAACTCAGGACCTTGACTTGCTAGGCAGGCTCTCTAACGTGCGAGCCACTATGTCAGCCAGGGATGATTTTTTTCAATAGCTAGAGTATCATTATCATATCTGAAAAAATTAATAATAGGTTTTTAGTGTTATTTAAATCTGTACTTTGTTTCAGGTCCTTGAATGGCCTCTGTCATTATTGATGCTCTAGTTTTTAATTTGGATAGTATTAGGATTGAACTCAGGACCTTGTACATGCTTAGGCTGATGCTTTTAACATACCAGCTATGCCTCCAGCCCTGCTTTGTGTTGGTTATTTGAAGATGGATGCCAATGAACTTTTCTGTCCGGGCTGACCTTGACGTGTAATCCTCCAGATCACAACCTTCTGAGTAAATGGTATTACAGACACAAACTACTGGCTCCAAGCATTATTATTATTATTATTGTCAGTCCTAGGGCTTGAACTCAGGGAATGGGTGCTGTCCATTAGCTCTTGTGCTTAAGGTTAGCATTCTGCCACTTCAGCCGCAGCTACACTTTAGGCTTTTGAGTGGCTAATTGGACATAAGAGTCTTGTGGACTTTTTTGCCCAAGTTATTTTCAAACTAGGATCCTCAGAACTCAGTTTCCTGAGTAGCTTGGATTACATGCTATATGCATGAACCACCAATGTCCGCCTAATAATTATTATTATTAATGCTTATTTTTTGACTAGTTTTTCTTATTTAAGTAGTTGTACAAAGGAGTTGCCACTTAAAATAATTTATGAATACAAATTATCTTTTAAGACTTTTTTTATTCATAGAGTATTAAACGTAAGGGTTACATTTATGTAAGTCAGGCAAAAAGTACACTTCCTTTTGGACAGTGTCACCCCTTCCCTTGCTCTCTCCCAGTTTCCCCCTCCCATCCCACCCACAAATTATATAGTTCATTTTTAACATGATGTCCAGTGAGTACTGTTGCTGCATTTGTTTACTCTTTGTCCCTCTATTTCTGTGCCTCATCTTTTATTATCAATGGAAAATGCTTCCCACTAAAGACCATTGAGAGCTCTAGTATTCAGTGACATTTAGTGGGAAGCATTTTCCATTGATGAAAAAGTAAAAGGTACAAAAACTGTTATACTTTTAGTTTAAATAACTAGTTTCCTAAGTTATTTTTTATTGCTATTGTTATTGTAGTTGAGTTGGTTGGTTGGGTTGATTGGGTTTTGCTTTTGTTTTTTTAAGACAGAATCTTGCCCTGTAGGCTGGACTAACCTGGAACTCATTATGTAGTAAGGCATATTGTTTTTAAGGCATTAAACTATTTTGTCATTAACTTTAAAATTTTCTATTGGAAGTAATAAGGTTCCCTTAGAATGCAGCAAGCTTGTATAAACTCTTCAGACAAACAGTTTAAGTTAAAAGCTTTGGCTAGGCTGGGTGCTGGTGGCTCACACCTGTAATCCTAGCTCCTCAGGAGGCTGAGATCTCAGGATCACTGTTCAAAGCCAGCCAGGGCACAAAAGTCTGTGGGACCCTTATCTCCAATAAACCACTCAGAAAGCTAGAAGTGGTGCTGTCGCTCAAGTGGTAAAGCACTAGCCTTGAGCTGAAAAGCTGAGGGACAGTGCCCAGGCCCAGATTTCAAGCCCCATGACCGACAAAAAAAAAAAAGCTTTGGTCAAAGAATATTTTATTGGGTTGAACAAGTTTACACTCCCACCAACAATGAAGTAAGGTTCCCTTCTGTCCACATCCCCTCCAGCATCTGTTGTTTTTAGAGTTCTTGATTTTAGCCATTCTAACTGGAGTGAGGTGGTATCTCAATGTCGTTTTGATTTGCATTTCTTTTATGGCTAGGGAGGTTGAGCATTTCTTCCTGTGTCTATTGGCCATCCTTCTTTCCTCTTCAGAGAAGTTTCTCTTTAAGTCTTTAGCCCGCTTATTTATTGGGCAGTTGTTTCTTTGAAGATTTGTTGTTGGGGGATTTAATTTTTTGAGTTCCAGGTATATTTTAGATATGAGACCCTTGTCCATTGTATGGCTAGTGAAGATCTTCTTCTAATCCATGGGCTTTCTATTGATCTTGCTAGCTATGTCCTTTGCCATGAAGAAGCTCTGCAACTTCATGCAATCCCATTTATCGAAACTTTCTCATACCACTTTGGAAAGTAGTATGGAGTTTCCTCAAAAGACTCCATATAGAGCTCCCCTATGGCTCAGCAATCCCACTTTTGGGCATTTACCCAAATGTTTACAAACAAGACCACACTAAAGCTCCCAGCATGACTATGTTTATTGCAGCACTATTTACTACAGCTAAAATATGGAACTAACCCAGATGCCCCTCAGTAGATGAATGGATCAAGAAAATGTGGTATATATACACAATGGAATTCTATGCCTCCATCAGAAAGAATGACATTGCCCCATTTGTTAGGAAATGGAAAGGCTTGGGAAAAATTATATTAAGTGCAGTAAGCCAGGCCCAAAGAAACATAGGTCCCATGGTTTCCCTTATTTGCAATATCTAGTATATGTCTGAGTCAAGCAGAAAAGGTCAGATAAGGTGATGTTAGGGAAATTAACCCTAAGATATGTAATCAAAGGTTTTTTTTCTTTCTTGTGATTGTTTCTAACACATTTATAAGATTATTTCTTTGTTGCTTTGTATGTCCCTCCCCTACAGTATAACCCCTGCTTTCTCTGTATTTGATGTCGGTATAATTTGTGGAGGGGAAGGGGAAAAACAAATCGTTGAAATAGGGATACAGGTGGACCCATTGCAACAATGAGATGTACAAGTCGTTATGTTGAAAAACGAACTTTATAACTTTGGTGCGGGGTGGGGGGGAAGAGGGGGGTAGCAGGGAGGATTAGGTGGTGGTGGGGTTGGGGGAGGGTGGGAAGGGATGGGAAGGGGAAACAAAGGAGGAGGCTACAATGCTTGATAAGAAATGTACTCATTATCTTGCCCATGTAATTGTAACCCCTCTGTACAGTATTTTCACAATAGAAAAATAAAAATTAAAAAAAAAGAATATTTTATTGGGGGCTGGGAAGGTGGCTCAGTGGTAGAGTGCTTGCCTTGCATGCCATGCCTGAGGCCCTGGGTTCTATTCCTCAGCACCATATAAGCAAAAAAAGAAAAAAGCCAGAAGTGGTGCTGTGGCTCAAGTGGTAGAGTGCTAGCCTTGAGCTGAAGAGCTGAGGGACAGTGCCCAGGCCCAGAGTTCAGGCCCCATGACTGTACCCCCCCCCCCCCCCACCCCCCAAAAAAAGAATATTTTATTGTTTTTGACATTGAGAAACTTACCAAGTTTTGTTCCATAAAATAAAAATGAGGTAATTTGTTCAACTTTTTACTTTGTAAAGATACTTATTAAGGTCTTTGATTTCCTAGTAAGAGCATGTGTAGATCTTATCAGATAACCAAATGTTTAGTTGAGCCACCTGAAGCCATTCTTTTTTGTTTGTTTTAATCTTGTATTTATTTATTCTGCTGGGCTGGTGATTGACCCCAAGGTAACACTCACCCTGGGCAAGCCCTTATCACTGAGCTATATCCCTAGCCCCCATTTTTAATGTACTTTTCTAAATGTGATATTTAATTTTTGTGATCTTTCACTTTGATTTATCATGATACGTTTACATTATTAGAATTGCTAAATTCAAAGAACTGGTTGATGTTATAAGCCCTGTAAAATTAAGTTAGTCTTCCCAGAAACATAGCTTACTACACTCAAGAAGGCAGTAGAACTGGGTAGGTATGTGTGGACTCTGGAGCTTTACTGTCTGGCTGAAGAGTCTGGTTATGCAACTTACTGTGACACATCTTTGGCTTATTCCTTATTTAAAAAATGGAAATAGTACTAAGTGCTGGTGGCTCACACCTGTAATCCTAACTTCTTGGATTGCTGAGATTGCTGGGATTGTGGTTTGAGGCCAGTCAGGCAGAAAAGTTTGTGAGACACCTTGTTAATGAAGAGTTGGACATGTTGGCACCGGACTGTTATCCTTGTTAGCTGGAAATCTAATAGGAACATTGGAACTAAGTGCAGGTTTGGAGAGGAAGTAAGACCTTACTCCAAAACTAAACAGTAGAAAATATGACTAGAGACATTGTTCAGTAGTTAGAGCACTTATTAAGGGCAAGGAACTAAATTCAAACCCCAGAACTGCCAGAAAAAAAGGAAATAGTGATATGTTACTTATCAGGTTTTCAAATAATTTATTCAAACAATATATTTAAAAATATTTAGCATTATA